CCCCCCCCCCCCCCCAGCTGGCTCACAGGACCTAGCACATGGGTAGCTCTCCCACCCACATGTACACACCTACCTCCCTACACACACAGTATACAGGATTAAGACTTTTCTTTGAGCTGTTATGCAACTGCTTCTATATACACTACTCAAAAACAAATCGGGACAAATTATTTTTTGAAATAAAGTTAACATATGTTACAGTTATGGGGGTTGATAACTTTTTGGGCAGAATGCCAAAAACACCCACAGCCTCAACTTGTAAGATGTTGGCATGCCAGGGGTGGATGGTGGGGGAGCCGCTTGGGGCCCAGTCCTTGTTGTGGCAGCACAGCTCCGGCCCCTTCTATGCCATCTTCCCTGAGGCGTGCACGCCAAGCGAAATGCCTTGGTGTGCCATGCTCTGGCCCCTATGCTGGAGGTTACCTACCCCTGTAATAGTAGATGTTAGATTTATTTATTTATTTTTAAGTATGATTTGTTTTTTATTTATAACTTGTAAAAATGATATCTTCTGAAAGATTTTATACGTGCAGCCCTTAACAGCTCACCAAAACTCATTAAGTGGCCCTCCAGTTGAAATAATTACCCACCCCTGTTTTAGTTTCTTATTGCAAATTGGGTCTTTGTTCTGCACATCATTAAAACTTTAAGTAACTTTTACTGGCAACTGTAGTAAAACCATGCTCCAGCAGTTTATTGTCCACATGACAATATGTAAAATATGTAATTTATGTAATTTTATAATTATTTTGTCATGGGAATACTCCATTGTATGTTTTGTAAAATATGCAATTTTAATGGCATGCATTCATCTGGATAATAAACCACTGGAGCATGGTTTTACTTCAATTGCCAGTAAAAGTTACTTAAAGTCTTAATATGTAGAACAAAAACTTAATTTGTAGTAAGAAACTAAAATCTACAGAGTAGTTAGGGCTAAACCCCTAAGACTGTAGTTCTGATGCTTCTGTATAAGATGCTGAAACTCTCTTCTAAAAATTAAAATGAAATTTAAACTAGGTTATAAAATTTAAACTAGGTCAAATGCCAAATATTTTGGACTGTAAATGCAGTCTGGTTGTTATGGTACTTTAATTATATAAACATTGCAGCAGAACAGAGAGAACACCTTATTAATACACATTTCTTAAGTAAGGTTGAATCTTAAATCTACAAGTGAGCCCAGTTGATACAATAGTCTGTTGCACCTCAGTGCTACAGGTTCAAGACGGCAAGGAGAAATGTGATTAGCTGCGCTTAATGTATAAAGAGCTTAGTGCCCAGTTTATTGACTCCTTGAATGAACCTGACTTTCTTCTTCAGAGGGCTCACAAAGGCTACCTTAAATATTAGAAGTTCCAAATTGCTGGCTTTGGCCTGAATTATGTGAGAATTGCACATTGCATATCTTACTTTGATTTCCTATTCAACTAAGAAAACTTGGAGATGGTAACTTCTTAGACTATTTTGGTAGTCTCTTATGGTTCCCCTGGCACCGCCCCCCCTCCAAAAACAAAAACCCCATCTAAACCAATTGTATCCCTCTTGTATACTCTGCATCTTTCCTGGACATTGAAACAATTTCTGAAATAGTTTAAATGCCATTGTTAAAATGCACTCCTAATAACATTTGCAGATGCCAAGGAATAAATACATTGAGGTGGGCACTGATGTACCTTCTTAATGGTCTTTGACAGTATCTGAAACCTGCTGGTGGAGCCATGTGACTATGGAATTCAACTCCTATACAAAATGTGTACGCTACTCTACATATGAATCCTGCAAATACCATGAAAAGTTGGGAATACTCCATTGTATGTTCAGTCCTTTGTAAAGTCCATCCAACTTTTTTTTCCCCTTGTGTTGCTACTTCCTGCTCAAGGTAGCATCTTGCTGTGCCCTTTGTCAGACTTTTTGAGGTATATGGAAGTCAGTTTTGAAAGCACTTTAGGAACTCTCCAGTGTGTAGGTGGTAGAAAAATAAAGCTAAAGTTTTGTCTAAATGAGAGAGTTTCACCAGTTAGAACTTCAAGTGGAATTTTAAATGGGCTGAGTGACATCAATACAAAGACTTATATCAGCACTCTGGTTTTTTATTTAGTTTAAAATGGTTATGAGTCAGTTTTAAGCTGAACCACAGTAGGTTTATTTAAATTTATGTGTAGATTGCTTTAGATCAAGCTGTTTAGCCTTCTCAGTTAGAAAAGGCCTAACAGGTGGACAGAATTTGCTGAAATAACTTTTCCCCAGAGGCTGATCCTGATGGGCAAGGATGAGTAGGATACAGCAGCTTTCTACATCCTGTGGATTTAGGAGAAGTAGGACCTGTTTCTTAGAGACTGGAGTTGTGGCTGGAGTTGAGGAGGAGCCCTAAGAACAGCTATCTCTAGTAACAATGACAGAGCTGAAGTGACTGGCAGGTCATGTTGCTGTTAAAGCAAAAATGAAAAATTGACCACGTGCTGTAGTAGAGGAGGTTTGGAGAGGCACCTGCTCAATGATGAATGTGTTTGTATTTGGGCTGTTTGGCACTGAGTCATACTGCCTAATTATGAAGTCTTGTTTTAGGTTGCTTGAAGAAGTGAAAAGCTGGTAGGTTCATTGCTTAATATTGTCCTTTGTGACCTTGCAGGAATTTGACTTCCATGTTCGCTGGCCTGGAGTGAAACTACTTACATCACTGTTAAAGCAGCAAGGACCTCAGCTGCAGCAGATAATTCTTGTCAGTCCCATGGGTAAGGAGTTTGGTTTGCCACTGGCTAACTTTAAAACTAGAAATCCAGTGAAATATCAAGGACGTGGAGACTCTTAATAGAACATTATAATAATTCTGAAAATGGCTTTCAAGTAGGAAAAGGTTGTTCATTCTTATAGTTCATATATTTTATTCATGTGGCTACTCACTTTTTCAGGGGTGTCAAGACTCATGGATTTACTGGCAGACTCAAGGGAGGTTATACGGAATGATGTAAGTACAGAGCAAAGAGATTCCAGTTGTGCCCTTACCTCTAGAGCTGCTTATCCTTTATAAGTAGGAGCTCTTCATTAAAGCATTCCTGTAATGCTACACTCAACCTTTTATCTGCGTTTCTTCAAAAGCTACATTTCAAAGAAGTTTGCAAGGTTGGGAAAGAATGGGATGTCATGTTCCTCTCATGTATGTGGTCTTGGTGCCAGTTGGTCTATTCTCTGATAGTTTAGTGCCACAAAGCACCATGTGTGCTACAAAGTGCATAGTGTTGAAATACAGCATACCTAAAGGTGACCTGTTAGTGGTAAGCAGATGACCTTTCCTTCCTAACAGTATATTGGGAGACCTGCGGAACAGACTCGTTTGGTTTTAACTCTTGGCAAATGCAATGACTCTGTATTTATAACATTTGCTTCTGGGCTTCTGTTTACATTTGCAAGTTAAAATGGACTGCCTCACTATGAATGGAAGACCTTTAAGAAATCACAGTTTTTGTAGACTACAAATACATAATTTTCTTAAGCGGTTATTATTCTTTCTAGAGTTCCAAGGTAACATGTAAGTGAACTGCTTCATTCACTATGCAAAGATGCTCACCTCTAGGGTGCAGTATGACTAGCAGCCATATTACGTGATGGTATATGGAGTTATTCATTTCTTATCCTCCTGAAACTAAGAGGAAAGGGGCATTTTGATCAATCGATACATCTCCGTAGAGGGACATTAATTCTTTAGTTAAGAACAATAAATTCTTCAATATTGTGTCCACTGAAATTTTCTAGGTTATTGAAGCAATTAAACTATACATGTGGATGCAGTATTGAAGAGTGTGGTAAATTGCACTATTCAACTTTGTGTTCAATGATTCCCACTGTGGTTGGAGCTGGTAATGTGTTACAGTTCTTATGGGGACCTTTCTTTGTAAAGCTAATGGTTTTTCTTTAAATACAGTTTTAATTTACTGCTCTTTTTCTCTTTTTCCCAAAGGGGGTCTTGTTGTTACAGCAATTGACAAAAAGCAATGCAGCCATTCAGAAAATTGTTGCTTTTGAAAATGCCTTTGAGAGACTTCTGGATATCATAACAGAAGAAGGGAACAGTGATGGAGGTATGGTACAAATGTGAATGCTGCTTTGTGCAGCAAGTGACACTAATGATTAAACTAAGGCCCTAGAAATGCTTGTTTCAATCAGAGAGTTACTCTCAAAGCTTTTGTAGTTCTAGAAACACTAGAAAATTATGGGCTGTTCCCATTCAATTTCTTTTAGAAGTTATTGGTGACGTGGGTAGGTAAAAGCACTGAGTAAGCAGCTAGGATCCTTGTAAAACAAAGTGATACAAATAAGCAACTTCCAGAATATTTTGGGATTCTAGTCTGGGTTCTTCAAGTACAGATGTCCAAGATAAACCTCTTTTTAGTGTGTGTCAATGTGAATCTAACTGTAGTTGTCCCTGCACATAGTCAGCTACTTGAAAAAGTGTGTGTCAGTGCTGTGCATGCACTGTTTGCCACAGTCTTTTGTGAGCATGTAGTGGCTATGTCCTTTCCTCAGTTCAGCCTTACCTCACTGGCAGTAAGAAGGAACCTGGCATATCTGACCTGCTATGCTTCCCTGAACTTGAAACTCATCCCTAGGTTGTTTTTTGAAGAGTCTTTATTCAAATTCTTCCTTTTTTTTTTTTTTTTTTTAAGCTATCCCCAAAACAGAGATGGATGGAGTATCCCCTCAACTGTAGAGCATGGTACTTCTTGCCATTTGCCATGGTAGACCAGAGCCATTGGTACAGCCAGTTCCATAGCCAATTTTGGCAGCATTGCTGATCAGTTTGGTTCAAGCCTTGATACTGGCTCTGTCAGTACTGGCAGGACAAACACTGGAGCCAGTGAATCAGCTTGGGAATAAAGCTGAGAGTTTTTTAGATAGTGGCAAGAAAAGGGAAAAGGAATACCTTTCTCACTAAAGAAAAGGGAAAAGGAATACCTTTCTCACTAATTCTGTGTGATACTGAGTGGAAAGGCACTGCAGATACTTGTACTGGCACAGATGCTGATTTATGGAACCCAGGTTTACGTATTGACATGGCACTGAGCACTGAAAGTGGAGCTGAGATCTCTTTTTGGTACTTTTGTTCAAGGAAGACTTCATCTCTGCTGGTCTACAACACTGAGCAGAATGGCCTTCTCCCTACCATTCACAAGCAACTATGGGGCCTCTGTGAGAGATGTTCTCCATAGAGCAGTGGTGCTCAAGCTTTTGGCCCCCAGGCCAGATGAGCAGTGTGGGGCTAGTCTGCTGGCTAGATTGGCCCCTGCGTGCCGTGATTGGGCTCTGGAACACAGCCCTGTGTGCTGAGACTTGTGCTTTTGTCAGTTTTGGTATGTTTCAGAGAGCATGTGCATTTGCACAGTTGTCTCTTGGAAATGTTTCAAAGGTATTTGAAATGTTTTGGTTGTTGCTTTGGTCTACACTTAGTCATTTGGACTTGTAGCATTAGCTGCTTAGTTGAAACAAGGCATTCATGTCTGCACATTAGGATGAGTGGCTGATTAGAGAGATGCTGTTGTTGTAAGAGACATCAACAAGTTGAGGCTGCCCACTGTCTGTATTTGACTAGGTCATGGGGCGCTGATCATCTCAACCTCCAGTAAAAGTGTACCTGTCTGACAATAGATGCTTGCTACTATAAAGATTCTTTAAGTCAACAACACAAATATTTGTGACATTACAACATGCACAGCAATACTATGGCAAGTGTTGGTATACATGTAGGTAATGCTGTTTGGCATGTTTTGCCTGCATTCTCTTCAATTTTTCTTCGGTGAAATATATCCAGTGAATGGAAGGATTGGAGTACCATGACCAGGGATCCTGGTTTTCTGTTTAAAAATCGAAAATCCTGCAATTCTAAAATTCACCACTGCCATCGTATTTAAGCGCAGGGATGCTTTTAAGCAGAATGGAGCAGGGCAGGGGTGGTTGCAGGCTGCCTGCTGTGGGCTTGGGGCGCTCTGTTGTCCTGCCTTTGTCCTGGGAGCCCTGTGCTGGCTCATGCCCTCTGCCTGCCCAGCAGCAGGAGACACAGATTGCCACCTCCATTACTGCCAGGTGGGCAGGGGTTGTGCAGCTCCTGAGGGAAAAGCAGTAGAGCAGAGAGCTCTGAGCCCACAGCGAGCAGCCCACATCCACCCTGTGCACAAATCTGAGGGGACACGTGCCCCTCCCAGGGAATGTGCATAGTAGTGGGGAGCTGGCCCCCCCATGCCTCTTGGGTGAGGTGCTCATGGCTCTGTCCCCTCCCCAGGTCCCATGCAGCGCCCCAAGCCCCTGCCCGACTCTCCTTCAATGTGAGGGCCTCAATCTTCTCTTCCCCATGCCCCTTCCCCTCCATAGACTTACCTGCAGAGAGCTACTTTTCTTTCTGTCCAGCTGTATTCCTGGCCATGTGCATGCATGCACCACCCCCTGTGTCTCTCTTCTGGCAGCCCCCAGCAAAACCGTTTACAGGCTAGAATGCTGCCTGCCTGCCTGCAAAGGGAAACCAGCTGTTTTCTGCGGGAGCCCAGGTATCCGGGGGCCCCAGCCCCACAGGAGAGAGGGAACCCAGGTGTCCAGGGCCTTGGCTGGAGGCATAATTATTGATGACCATTATTGCCTACAATGGCCAAAAAAAGTTGATAGCCGATAATATCATTTCCCCTTTTATCGGTGCTGATCTGATAGGCAACTGGTATATTGGTGCACCTGTTCCTAGGAGTCGAGGACAAATTGGCAGACTCCTGAAGAAGCAGTTGGTAGCCGATTACAAATGGTGGTTTTGCACCCTAATTGCAGAAATGCTGCTCCATCTGGTGCCCCCTAAAATTCTACCCCCAAGGACAGTGAAAAATATGAAAACTTTTGCTCCAGTGGAGGCCAGAGTTACAACTCTGTTATTTTCCTGTTGTGGCATAGAGGCTTACTGGTGTACACCATTCCATAAACCATTGTTGTTAGGGATAGCTCCATAGCAGCTGAGTTGGTTCTGGCTCATAGAGCTTTTCCAAATGTCACTTCAGCCCCTGCTCTAACTCCTAGAACAACTAGATCTGATCTCATGGCATTGGGGCCAGATGGTACATCCGGATCTAAAGTTACTGCACCTCCTCACCTGGCAGCCCTTTTCCTGGCTAGGTGCCATTTAACTGTGATTGCTTCCTGTTAGTTCTAAAAAACCTCGTGACAAACCTGATAAGCATTCTTTTAAGCAGATGTTCTTTATCTGGGTAGCCCAAAACAGCTTATAGTAACAGTGGTTTTGTGTGATTTTTTTTTTTTGTGTGTGTGTGTGGTTGGCCATGACCCACCTTCCTTCGCCACACATAGGAGTTCTTTTTTACCACACACTTTGAATTGCAAGGGAACTGAGGAAGGGTTAAGACTACTTCACCCTTCAGGTCACTGTGAGAGAAAATGAGAGGCCCAGGGTGGACCTGTACAATGCCAGCAGATGCTGTTGCTGAACATACTCTCATTTTGTACACACAGTCAAATCTCCATTCAATACAATATCATGAAGACTCGAGATGCTATAGGGTAAATAATTGTTATTTTCTGTACTGTTCGGATATGAACAAGCTGTTGCCTCTGTTTTATTATAAAATAGGCTGTGATGTTACTTGAGTGCTGCCAGGATAAAAGCTGGAATGTATTATGGGTGTATAGTGAGGGAAGAGGAAACACTTTCTCAAACAGCTAGTTTGTGAGATGCTTTGGGCTTCACTTAAATTTATGGAGCTGAGTGAGCATTCAGTGAACAAACTTGGTGTCATGTACAAAATAAAATGAGGTATGGCTGAAAAGGTTTCAGCATTAACCATTGAATTTTCTGTGGCCCATTACTTACTGTATTGAAAACAGCTCATCACCAAGGATCTGGGTTTTCAGTTCCCCACAGAAAAATAAAAATGTGGATTTTCCCCTTTATCCAAAGAAAATGTAGATTTCTCATTTTAACTGAGAAACTCACGGATTTTGCAGAGAGCTGTTTGCAGGCTGGGGGGAGCAGGAGGAGGGCAGTCAGGCAGGGGGTGCCATGTGCATGTATGCACACATGGCTACCAGGTAGCCTGGAATGCAGCTCCCATAGGTAAGTCTTGTGGGGGAGGGGAGGAGTGGGTTGGAGGCCCCCATAGGGAGGGAGGGAGTGGGTTGGGTAGGGGCTGAGGGGATGCATGGGGCTTGGGACCCGGGGGCAGAATGAGCCACTGCAGGGCCCCAGTGGGGAGCCAGATGGGGCCATGGGTGGCTCATCCAGGGGGGTGGTACCTCACTAGGGCTGCGTGGCAAGTAGCTTCTCCGCCCAGCCCTGCCAGGCCCTGCAGCACTGGGTCATACCTGCTGGGCTGTGGAGGCCCCAGGGCAGGTCAGCAGGGCAAGGAGGCTGAGCCTGCAGTGGGCAGCCTGCACCCACCCCACGCACGGATCTGGGGAGCAGAGGTCCCCTCCTGCTGCCCTGGGACTGTGCGCAGCAGTAAGGAGCTGACCCCCCTGCCTGAGCCTGCAGCAGGGAGGGGGGAGCTGGGCTCTGCACTCTTATCCACCGCAGCAGCCACTGCCTCCTGCAGGCAGCAGCCAGGGCTTGGGTGATGCTGTGGGGGGCAGGGGGCTGTGGCCCTGGCTCCCTCACCCTGTAGCCCTGGCAGCTGGGGGCCCCCTCTGGCAGGGCTGTGGGAGGCAGGGAGTTGCAGGTGAGGGGTGCCAGCAGGGCTGGGGGGCGCCAGCAGGGCTGGGGCGCTGTGGCTTGGGAGTGAGAGGCTTAGACCTGTGTTCTGTGAGCTAAGGGGTTAGGGGGAGCTCTGATATTTTTCCATGATAACACAAAATTAAATCCCAAAATGTATAGGTATTTAGAATTTATTTTATTATAATGATTGAGGCACTGGTAGGCTTCCAAATTGCTTTAAACTTGTTAATATACCAAGAAAGCATTGTGTTCAACTGATATATACATAAAATAGTGACCTTTTATTGTAATCACTGATTTTTGGGTTTTTTAATCAGATAATTTGTGGTGGGTTTTTTTGGGGGGGGGGTAATCTGAGAATTTGCAGTTTTTTATCAGGGAAAACCAGGATTTCTGCTCATCACAAACTGTTGGGGGGGTGATAAATTGCCATTGTTATAGAGTCATAGGATGGAGTGTGACAGAGGTTGAGAGGCCATTGCTCAAACAACTGCATAATAAATATATCATAATGGAAATGTCAAGCACATTTTAGGCTTAAAGAGATTAAGCAGATAAATATGGTCTGAGAAATTTCTGCTATAAGGAGAAAATTGAGAGCTCCTTGCAGAGTCGGTACTTAACTTGAGAAGCACAGAATGTTCTCTTAATTCATTCCTCTTGCCTCTTCACTTCAAATTTGATATTTGCTGTGATCTAACAGTGGAGAACTGGTGAGCATGACTTGCTGCAGCATGGCAGAGAGGAATGCTGTCAAACAGTTGGCCTGATCTTACTGATTATTCTCCCTGACCTAAGGTTTTGAATCTTATAAGCCTAAGGACTCTGTCTCAGCAGGCCAGCAATGAAATGACTGAGGAACAAAAAGGGAGTGAAGGGTTTTCACCTTTTGTTCACGTTCTTTGGCAAAATTGCCCACTCAGGGGTTGTAAACATACTTTTTTTTCTTTTTTTCCTCTCGGAACACAGATTATAAGCATATGGTTGATTGTGTCCTTGGCTCTCTGTGTAGGGTGAAGAGAGGTTGTCACAGCTCCAAGGCATTCACATAACTTTGAAATAACTTTGAAATAAGGTGTGTGTGTGTGTGGGGGGGGGGTTACTATTAAAATCTTAACCAGTGAATACAGATGTGAATTTGTGACTTGCCCAGTAAGAATTGTTACACAAGAATTCTAACCTTGTATCATGCTAGTGCTGTTTTAAGAACCATTTCATTTTTGCAGTGGGAGAGAAACCTGGGAGGGCTGGTCCAGAAGTGACACATGGTTTAGACAATTAAACAAGATGCTGTAGATTTTTCAAGACCCCCGTAAGCTATTTTTATTGAGAAGATGGTGCACCTTCTCTTCATAAACACATTTCATTTTATACTTGTGGAGAAATCATTTGAAAACTAACCGCTTTAGAATGTAATGGCATTTAGCCAATGTTTTCTATCCTCGGAGATAGTGATGTAATTTGTTCTTAAATATTGCTGGCTATTAGGTTGCACATGCTGAAATCTTGGCTTTCCAGGACTGTGTTGCCAGGGAGCTTAATTCAGCACTACTCTACCTAGAAAGTGTTACTAATCTACATATGGGGTACCTATATTATCTCGATTAACCCTTGACTTGTGTCTTTCCAGGAATTGTGGTGGAAGACTGTCTTCTCCTTTTACAAAATTTGTTAAAGAACAACAATTCCAATCAGAATTTTTTTAAAGAAGGTTCATATATTCAGCGTATGAAGCCTTGGTTTGAAGTTGGAGATGACAACTGTGGTTGGTCAGCACAGAAAGTAACTAATCTTCACCTAATGCTGCAGGTAAAACTCTTCATAACCTACTCATAAAAGCAACACGTGTATTTCTAAAATGCTGTACATTTTTCTTCATTCTTGGCAAGCTTTTACCTTTTTTATTTTTTCTTTAGAGTGTATTTGAAGTCTACATGTGCTCAGGGCACTCTTGACAACTTGTAGGGTTTGGAAATTACAGGTCCCTATCCTTAAATTTTCTCTCTTGTTTTTCATGTTGTGTGTGGTACTGTGCATGCAGTCTATTAAATGCTACAGTAACCTGGAAACACTTATTTTAATAGTTCCAATAGAAGTAATGTGGGGTTTCACTTAGGAGCAGGATGATTTTTAGGCAGTTTTTATTTAAAGTAATTTTAACCCAAATTATAGGGACTTTGTCTAGTGAATTTTTATTTCACAACACAGTGTGGCTCTTACAAGAGCTATAAAAAAATAGAAGATGATATACAAACTGATTTTTGGGCCGTGTGTTTGACTTCCAGTGGGTTGGGGGCTGGGGCACGTGACTTTTGAGGAGAGGCTGAGGGAACTGGGCTTATTTAGTCTGGAGAAGAGAAGACTGAGGGGATTTAATAGCAGCCTTCAACTCCCTGAAGGGTGGTTCCAAAGAGGATGGAGCCAGACTTTTCTCAGTGGTGGCAGATGACAGAACCAAGGACTAATGGTCTCAAGCTGCAACAACGGAAGTTTAGGTTGAATATTAGGAAAAATGTTCTCACTAGGACAGTGGTGAAGCACTGTAACAAGTTACCTAGAGAAGTGATGCAATCTCCATCCTTGGAGATTTTTAAGACCTGGCTCGACAAAGAGCCCAGTGCTCTAGTTGGGGATGGTCTTTGTATGATGGGGGGATTGGAGTAGATGACCTGCTGAGGTCCCATCCAGCCCTAATTTTCTATGATTCTATGACCTTTCATGTGACATTCATATTTGAAACTATATGAAGAGTTAGAGGTCAGCATGTTTATGCTTAATTTAAGATTAATGCAAAGGACATGGCTAATCAACACTCTGGACAGATGGATGCAGTTGTTTGGGATTCCTGCACTGTATTTGTCTCCATGCATATTTATGATGCCTTTATAAAAGGTACAGAACTTCTTTTTTTTTCTTTCTGGTGGATTCATAACTAGAAGGATTCTTTAATTGTACTTTTCCATGAAAACAAAAATCAACCAATTAGGATTTTTTTTTTTTCTGGACCATCACTAATGGCTTCTCTTTTAAGAACAGTAGAACTTGGGCATTTACTCTGAGGACATGCTGCCATTTGAAGAGCAGCTAGGTGCTATCACTGAGAGAACAGTGTGCACAAGAAATACAGCTGTTGTAAATTGCCCTGTATAGCTCAATTTCTTCATGTAATTTTAACATTTGCAAGGAGCTTAGCCATTTCATATTCTCAGAAGAAATCTTGGGCATTGAGTTTCACCAAAATTCTAATGAAATGGCAGCTTTATAAATGAGTCTCAATAACGATTCTGCTCACTTGTGTTAATTAAAGGCCTGTTTTTGAGAGTAGTTTACTTCACGTCCTCACTAGAATGCAGCAGGTGGTGTAACTTTCTGTTGAATCTTGTTCCACAGTTTCAGTAGCACTTTTAATTTTCTCATTTACCATATGAGCTGAGCCTTTGACCAAGAAAAAATCACATTCGACATAGCTGCCATCCTGTCACTTTCCTGCATGCATGAAATGAGTCGGTACCAAAGCAATTCTCTTTTCTGCCTCCTGTGCAAACAAGGCTCTCTCTTCTTTGCAGCTTGTGCGGGTGCTAGTGTCCCCTACAAACCCTCCTGGAGCCACCAGCAGTTGTCAGAAAGCAATGTCCAACTGTGGATTATTACAGCAGCTTTGCACAATCCTCATGGCAACTGGAGTTCCTGCTGACATTTTGACAGAGGTAAGAAAGAGGAGGGGTATCTAACGGGGGTGGGGGGGGAACCCATGGGATTAGCTAGCTGGCTGTATAGGCAAAAGCCATCAGATGAATTTAATACTTCTCAGGTTGATTTCAGAAGCTTGGGAAATGGCAGCTTTCTTCCTTCCAGCCAGCAGTGTCTAGTTAGAGTGGTCCCTGTGTATTAAAATTCTGCAGAACTGTAATAAACAAATTTCAGTTTATTCTCAAATCCAGATTGTGGTGTGTCTAGGTATATTTGAAACTTAGAGAAGGTAATTATTGTCACGTTGCTTGTCTGGGATTTAAGCGATTTCCATAGTTAGTTCAGATCCACCCCCTGCATGATTTTCACTGGCAGTAAACAAACCAAGCTGGCCTTGCACAGCTCCAATAATAGAAGTATTTTTGGCTTCTGGGAAAAGTCCCTTACTATTTTGAGATGAGGGCAATTAATTCTTCACCAGACAAAACTAGGTAGGTCAGGTGGAGTTAATCAGCTCTTGTTTGACCTCCAGTTTAGCAGTCTCATTAGATATTTTTGAAATGGTAGTACAGTGAGGTAGTTAGCTGTGTTTGAAGTCAGGTAGAAAGCAGAGTAGATTTGTACCTTGACAGATTGCATCAGAGAGAGAGCGCACAAGCTTTTATGAGGCCAAGATCACTTCATCAAATGCTCATTTCGTGAAACACTGTTAAAGTACTTCCATTTCTATATCTAAGTAGCTGTAAGCAGTTCTAGTTTGTTTCTACTTTTTAGAAAACAAGTATAATAGCCTCTGTAGTTTGTGAGGACCAGTTTCCTTTCAAAAGATGAATATAACCATATGTAACTTCAGCAGCCCCTTCTAGCTTTTCCCAGTTGTAGACTTGAATTTCGGTTTTACATGCAACTCAGCCCAGTTTTTAGTAGTAAGCCACCTCGAGTACCCGAGACTACAGAAATACCATGTATAATAAATGTCACGAGACATCCTGCAGTAGTTATTCCATCACATGTAGGCCCTTAACACAGGGAGGCTTTCATTCCTGATTTATGGAACTGGTCAGTGCTGTCTGCATACTATAGTTCTCACAGACTGATTCAAGCCATAATTTCTACTTTTTAATAAATATCCTTTGTTTTTAATGCTTTTAGTTGGTTAGCTTTTGTTTGGAATAATTTTCAAACTTCTTAGTTTGTCCTTGTATCTTCAAGTACTACACTAACGAGAAGTTGCTGTGTCAGCATTGTGAAAACAGTGCTTTTTGATGCAGATATGTTTTTTTGCTTTCCCAGACTAACATTTTTTTTAGTTAGTGATTCTTATGATATAACTGAGTGGTTTATATCTCCCTTTTCTAGACCATTAACACAGTGTCAGAAGTTATTCGAGGATGCCAGATGAACCAAGATTATTTTGCCTCAGTATATGCACCTTCAAATCCACCAAGGTAGGAGAATAAAAATGCTAAATTGTTTACCTAGCGATGGCCATGTCTACACATGTGGTGGACTGCACAGTTGTTACTATGCAATCATTTAGTGCTTGCTTATGCAGAACCATTGCCACAGTTTTTTCCCTGACGCTACTGCACAGTAGCTTGTCATGTAAACATTGCAACAGATGCATTGGTACGGGTAACGGTAGGTTACTAGAGTCCATATCAAGAGTCTGAAATCACAAGAAGTGTTTTATTAAATATCTTAGTGTTACCATATGTGAAATCAAATTCAGGCTTCGTAATGGCAGGGCAATCAGGTTAACATTAGTTGGAGCGTATAGGAATTACTAGGAATGCCATCACGTGTGGGGGAGAAAAAAAAAAAAGCATTGTTTAATGAAATTTGCAGATGCCAGATTAAGAGAAGCTGCTACCACCCATGAGCGAACAAAGGGACATAGAGATTAGACACGTAGGTAGAAAATGACACCTATTTAGATTGTGGGTGGGGGGAAGGGTGATATGTGAAATCCAGGGGAAACTATTCCACAGAACACATGCTAAGTAAAAAAAAAAAAAAAAAAAAACCAAGAAAACAAACCTTGTGAAGCAGTACTGTTGACTTCTAACCAGAATGGCAAGTAATGGAAAAAGCCACTTCTAAGAGGTGAACTGACATTCTGTGAGGGTTCTCAGAGCAGTTTTCTCCTTGCTGGTTCCAGTAGTTGTGCTGCAGTTTCTAATGTGTCGCTAACCAATCTAGATATGGGACCCTCTGGCTTTGGTCTTTCGCATTCAAACTGCTAAAACAGCCTGATGCAATGTTTTATAGACAGGGCTGATGTGCGTTAGCTTATTGTGATCATAAAATGGAGAGCCACTTTTTATCAAATTAATTACCCCCAAAACATTGTAACTTTAAAAATATAAATTTTACTTTTCAACTTACACCCTTGAAGTTGCTATTGTCACTTAGGGATTTTTTTGTTATCTTGAGAGGATGCACCTCTCAAATACTAATAGTATTGTTAAACTGCATTTTCAAAACTAATGCATTTCATAGGTACTAATGTATATTTCAGCAAAGATGGAACAGTAAATATGAAGTTCCTGACCGTTTTGTGATTCATGTGTGCCTTGTGTCAGTTTGAAGTTGCACTGAAATTTATTTGCTGTTTCTATATATAAGCAACCCCTAATAGTGTGTTTCACTGCAGTCAATATGTATTTTTATATCTAGGCTCTGTATTCCTGCTGAACCAGTCATGAACCCTATCTTGTAGGCAACTACAGTTGTTTGATCTGTGACTTTCTTCTATTGGTCTTTCATTTCAAAACAGGCCTGCAATTGTAGTACTTCTGATGTCAATGGTAAATGAAAGGCAACCGTTTGTGCTGCGCTGTGCTGTTCTTTATTGTTTCCAGTGTTTCCTGTACAAAAACCAAAAAGGACAAGGAGAAATTGTCTCAACGCTTCTACCATCCACCATTGATGGTAAGTTACGTGAAAAATTTAAGAAACTGGGAAATTCTTCATTGGCATATAGTTGTATCATATTGTGTGATAGTCTAGGAAGTATGCAAAGAAAGGGTTTCTTAGGGTGAGTAGTCAGACATGATGAAGAAATGTCTTGCGTTTGAAAGTTTCTTTAACTATCCCGATTTATGCATTTGGTCCAATAAAAGATAACACCCTAAGAAATCTGTGCCTTTTCACATGTATATATTTTTTTCACATATATATTTTTTCTTCCTGCCCTTGGGGCAGGGGGCTGGACTTAAAGATCTTCTGAGGTCCCTTCCTGCCTTAATGTCTATGAAATCTATGAATATTTGAATGCATCATAAGGTTTCTTCTGAAACATTACTTATTTAGGTATCACACTGAATTGAGATGTAAAATGCTGCCTACAAAGTGATTTTTACGATGAATGAAAAGAATGTTGTAACTGCCGTTCTTGAACTGAACTTAAGGGGGGCAGAATGGATATTAAAGCTACAAGACCACAAGCCTCAGAACTTAGATGTCTGTTTTAAGTTCTAAGAGTTGGGTCTGGTAACAAAGTGGTTATTTGTGCTTACGTGTCTAATTCTAAAGCTTCTTCTGAATGGGTTGTCTGTTCATTATACTCCATTCTAAACAATATCAAATCACTTCTGCCAAAGAGCAAAGATACAGGTAGTGTTTTGTATTTTGAGCAATAAGGTAATATCTTTTAAACCTTAGAATTTCACAGGTATTTGGGGAATAGGGAAGGAACAGTTTCCTGATAAGACTGAATTCTTAAGAAGCTGAAAACTAGATTGCTCAGGATTTGGAGAGAGATGCAACATCTTGGCTAGGAAATGACACAGATGCATGTTCTTTTGTACAATATATCAAATAGCATTGACTAGTTAGAGAAAAATCTTTGACCTTACCCTGTTACTGTTTTTCAAGCATGCCGAAAATGCTTTATGCCTCTCGGACAAAGATAGCCTTCCTGCTTCAGAGGAAGGGATGTACCAGTAAAATGGTGGGAGTGAAGTTAAACTCTTTATTGATTAATGCCATCCCCCTCCACCCTTCCTGTTCTTGTTCTTTGTTAACTACTTGCTCATGCCATTGGTCACTGATCTGTTTTTGCATATCTGGTTTTGTGCTCTCCCTCTGTCATTATAGACGTGAAGCTGATCATGAGCAATTTACTAATTTGAAGGATTTTAAATGTGTAATGAGAACAGTATTCTAAAAAAGATAAGAGCTGGATATTTACATGCTAATTGAGCCAACACTTGTTATCTGCCTGTCAAGTGTCAAGCTGTTACCGGTCTGAGTTGCAGGACTCATTAATTTCCAGGAAATACTGTCTTATTAATTTTTGATTAAATAAAGTTAGTTTTCTGGCATGCCCGGTCTGTTTTCACAATATAGCTTTTAATGCTTAGAACTGTAAACCTCAGAGCTTTTTTTTCTCCAAAGGTATCAACCCCTTTTTACTCAAGTGGAACCAGATGCAAAGATGTTTAAATGACCTTTCCAAGGTCGTAGGAAGTCAGAGGTGGTGGAAGAGCTGGGGCAGCGCTGGGTGGCTGGTGGTGGTGCTGTTGGGAGTAGAGCAGTGGCAGAATTTGAGGTTGATGCAGCATCCTCCCATCGCTGCCAAAGTCTGCTCCAAGCCCAGTCCCTGCTGAGAAGAGCCCCATACAGCCCTGACAGCAGCCCGCCCTGCCGTGCCCCACAGAGATCCAGGGGGCACATGCCCACTGCCCCCCGCCCCGTGCCCTCGTGAGGTGCTAGCAGAGGTGGTAGCCGCCTGGCCCACCCAAGCAGTGCCTGCCCCTACCCCCTCCGTCACCATGGGAGGTGTTCATCTGCCCTGTCCCCTCCCAGCTCCCCTTTCTTCCCCCTCCCCTTCTACCACACTGGACTGACCAGTTGGAGGCAGCTGTCCACACTGCTGGCTCTGCTCCTCTCTGCCTGAGTGCTGCACTGTACTAAAGTTCTGTGCAACTTACTGTCAAGACACAAACTTGTCTTCAGATGACCTTATTGTTTCAGTCAGGTCTGTCGAACTGGTGGCCTGCGGGCTGTATCCAGCCCCTAAGGGGTTAAGACAGCCCCAAGGCTCCTGGTCTGGACATCACTTCCCGTACTATTCCTGCTGCTGCTGGTGCTGTCATTACCAGAGTCTCTGTGTTCCTCCTCCAGCTTCTGATACTTGACCTGCTCCTGTGGATGAGGTGGCATAGCATGGTGCAGAGGAGCCAAGGGAATCTGCAGCTGGAGAATTTGGAGGAACTGGGGCCTCTGTAGGGCATGGAAACGTGCCATTGTGTGTGTGTGTGGGGGGGGGAGCAGGTACTTGGTGTGCACTGTGGGGGGGCCACACAGAGCAGGAGGTGGGGCTGTCAGTGTGGTATGGGGGGCACCCACCGCACAGTGTGGAAGGGGGATGGTGCCTACACAGCACCGTGCCATGCTGTGGCATGCAGCCCAAGCATCATGCAGCTGGAAGGGTAGGTTGCAGCATGGGCCTGTGCAGCAAGTGCCCAAGGTTCCTGTGGCCCCTAGCCACTCAAAGGTTGGACAGCCCTGTTTTAAATTATTGTTTTGCTGGGGTAAGCATTGTATGTATCCAGTATGAATTACAGTATACCTGCTCAGGGTATGATTCTGCTCGGGGCTGAAATGCTTCTACATCAGATACTTTGCAATTTCAGTTATGGCTTACGTTTGTGTAACTGCAGCTGTTTTGCTGTTTTTGGTAGCTACAGGTAATTCAGTCTCAGCTGGCCAGTTGCTCTGTGGAGGACTCTTTTCTACAGACTCTCTCTCAAATTGGTGTGCTGCTGTGGCCCTGGCCCATGCTTTACAAGAAAATGCAACTCTGAAAGAACAACTGCTAAGAGTTCAGCTTGCAACAAGCATCGGTAACCCACCCGTGTCTCTGCTCCAGCAGTGCACCAACATTCTGTCACAGGTAGTGTGTCAGTTTTGTGTCCTTCACTGACAATAGTCTGTTCACTTGAGAAGAATATCTGGTTTGATATTGATGGTTCCAAAAAAAAAAAAAAGTTTAATGTTTTCAGCACAAGTGAAAAGGGGCTTCAGTTTCTCCTGGTGATGCTAATCTAGTGATCCTGAAAATGATTTTTGCAGTAAAAAAGGAAAAGTTAGCAGAACTGACCTACCAAGAATTGCTGTTAGAAGTTGCCATCCACTAACATAATTCAGACTCCTGTAATATGAAATGATAGTATTTTTATCTGTTTCTCTGCTGTCACTATTATGAATGCAAGTTACTGAAGGAGGCCAATTTTAAAAATAAAACGGGAAAATATTTGGGAAACTGTTACAGTTGTAACAAGAAATGGTTCTGCCAAATAGAAAGAAACAAGGGAAAATGCTTTAAGTTTTACTTAACAATACAGAGTGTTGTCACATGATTTGCTTCTGTTGGGTCTTTAACTTTTTTTCTGTTACTGCATAGAGGGTCTGACAAGCAGATGTAGCACCTGGATCTGTTTTTAGTCAGCTTTCTAAAGACAGTTCTTTAGGTTAATAGTAACTGTTTATATGATAGTGCCACTTAAAAAGGTTGTAGTAAGAATACAGTATGTAGACTCAAGTCTGTGCAAAATTAAAAGTATTTCCCATCTTCTCATGTTTTCTTAAGTCTGTCTGAACTGACAGGTTTTACCTCATTATTACTATTCAACCTTCCCATACCCATCTTCAGTAAAACACACGGTCATACCATTTCCTCTTGCACTTGGTTTCTGTTTGTTTATATGCTGTCCCTGTTTGTTCAAAGGTTATTTTTCTTGAAAGATTGAAGTATGGGGAAGGTAATTTCTCAGTGTAATTAGGCTAGCCTACAAAAAGGATTATAGCTAAATGCAACTTGTATATGTTGGCCTGACTGTTTTGAGTACTCCATGTTCTGAAAATTAACCAGAGTATCATCAAGTTGCCCTTCCCTTCTCAGCCTTTTAGACCCAATAATAATTTTAACATAATTTCCAGTAAATCTTCAGCTTTACATTCTGCTAGAATCTTAAGATGGTTTTGAGATTTATTTCTGAAATTTTTTTCTGCAAACAAATCATAAGTAATAAGTTTGAATCTTTTAATGTATAATTTACAGGGTGATAAGATCGACAGACGGGTATGTATTTCTTGTCATGAGCAGGGCCTTTTTCTGTTGTCTTGGGTTTTGCTGTTTTTGTTTTTTTTTTTTTTTAACTGCTTTTTGAAGTGTTTCCATGTTGCAGGCAATTTTTATTTCTAGCATAACAAGCTCTCTCCATACGTTTCCATGGGAATCTTCGGTGGTGTTCTTGGGACCTATGGGATGAGGGTCTTGGGTGGCATGGGTGCTTTCTTTCCATTGGGTGCACTGCACATCCAACAGCTGCTCTGTAACTTCCTAGAGTACATTAAAACATTTTGATTCTGATTCAGAGATTTGGCCACTGAATCGGGCTGAATCTCCGCCGAATCGAATCAGCGACTAAAGCTTTGAACAGCCCTACTAGGCAAGTCATTTAACCAAGCTTTACATGTTTGGTTCCTTAACTAAGCATTCCTTGTTTTCTGAAGTTTCAAGTGGAGATGTTAAGAGTCTGGCCTGCAGAAAATTTGAGTTTAAAATTAATACGCTGATAGAGATTTTGAGGGCCAATACCAAAAGCCGATAGTTAAGGAGGCATATTGGCCGATACCGATCTGATATCCTATGCAGCTGCCTCCAGGTGGTAAGTCAGGTGTGGTGGAAGGGGCATGGGGGAGCAGATCAGTGCCCCCAGCAGTGAGGGCTGGGGCAGGGGTAGGTACTGCCCAGGCGGGGGTTGGGGATGGGACATGGGATGGAGGTGCAGCTTGTGGGGTGGAGGCAGCTCCCAATGCTGCATGCATCCCAGGGGGGTAGGGGGACACGTGCCTTTGGATCTGTGCAGTGCGGGATGGGCAGCAGTTGCAGGGTGGAACTGGTGCTGCGTGAGGCTTTTTTTGCCAGGGGCTGGGCTCTGAGTGTACTACAGCAGCACTGGGAGGAGGCTGTAGCCACCCCAGATTTTGCTGCAGCTCCGCTTTTCTTGGCACTTGGGTGGCTTTTCCCAGTGCTTGGGTCGAGGTGGGGCATTCAGCCAGGGCTGGGACAGGTGGTAGTGTGGGACTGGGAGCAGAACTGTGGCGAAATTTTGGGGTGGCTGAAGTTTCTTCCCAGCGCTGCTGGAGCCTGTTCCAGAGCCTGCTCTGAGCCCCAGCAAGAAAAGCCCCATACAGCACCGGCTTGGGCATCCATCGTGCAGCTGCAGCCTGCCCCATGCCATACAGATCCAGGGGCATGTGCCCACTTGCCTTCCTGGGGTGCAAACAGCAGCAAAAGCTGCCCCCACCCCATGAGCTGCGCATCTGTCCTGTGCTTCCCTCCCACCCCAGCTGGGCAGTGACTGCCCCTTCTCTTGCCATGGGGGGCATTGATCTGCCCCCCGCAATGCCCCTTCCCTCCCCGTTCCCCTCCCCTCTCCCCTTCCAACTTACCAGCTGGAGGCAGCTCTCCATGCTGCCGTCTGCATGCTGTGCTGCGGCTGCACGCAGCATGGGCATGGGCATTTATGAGCCTCAGGATATAGATGATTTTCTTTGTATTGGTACCAATCCGATATTGAACTGATGTATCAGTGTACCTCTATTTAAAACTGCAGCTGCTATTTTCTGCACTGATGCATTGAACATATAAAGGGCTGTGAATGTACTTTGAGAAATCAGGCCTGTGTCAAGCTGGGTACCCAAAAGTTTAGTATTTGGCTATGATTTTAGCCTGGGTATTTGCCTCAGTTTTCTATCTGTGAAATGAGGATGAGGTTATCACAAAGGTGAGGTAAAGAAAATGTAATATTGACAAAACATTCAGTTATAAGAAATGCCAGGAAAAATGAGAAATGTTTCAAACGGCTAAGGGCTTGAATGGTGTAAGTTAGGTTAAATAGGACAACGAAGGTGGAGAATAAAACATGCTGTCCCTTACCTTTTCTCTAAATGAGGTAAGGGTCTTGATCAAAAACTTGTCAGTAGCCATGTATGCATAACAAGTTATACGGTACTTGTGTAGAAGGCTGACTGAAGATTGTATGGATTTCCCTACAGCCAGGCATGTTTGACCTGCCAATCATAATACATTATTTGTTTGGATCTTACTTTTACTCTGTTCTTCTGCACAATGAGGAAAATGCTGTCTTGGTAACTGTAATTGTAGTGCAGTGAGTTTGTATCAAATGGATTTAGCTGATAAAAGCCCAAGTTTTTTTTCAGGAGTCTGGAAGCAGTATTGATTGGGCAATTATTGAAGAATCAAATTTAGGCCACAATGTGGAATTTAGCTAGAGATAATGTGACCCATTGTCAGTGTTTGCTATAAAAGCCATTAGAAGATATGTTGGCCTTCTGATTTTCACTCTTGGTTATTTTGTTAAATGTCATGTTGAATAGACATGGAGAGGAGACTTCCCTTCCATAAGTTGAACACAATATTTTATTGATATATTTACAATCTTAAAACAATTTTGAAGCCCACCAGTGCCTCAGTCATTATAATAAGATACATTTTAAGTACCGATATATTTTGGTGTTTGATTTCGGGTTTTTTATCATGAAAAATCGGAGCTCCCTCTGCCCCCTTTGCTCATCATCAGGGCTCTTAGTTTTCCGTTTCCCACAGAAAAACAAAAAAAGAAAAACCTGTGGATTTTCTCTTTCACCCAAGAAATACAGACTTTTCATTTTAAGAGAAACGCTCAGTTTTATTCTCTTTTGCAAAGAGATCTCTGCAGCCTGGAAGAGTTCCTGCTTGCAGGGGGCTGGAGGGAGCCAGGAGGAGGGCGGTCAGGTAGGGGGCACCATGTGTATGTACACACACATGGCTTCCAGGCATCCTGGAGAGCAGCTGCCATAGGTAAGTCTGAGAGGGGGAATTGAGGTCCCCATAGGGAGAAAGTAGGGCAGGGCTGGTGCCCAACCAGGTGGTGTGGGGTTTGGGGCCACAGGGCATGGCTGCAGGGCCCCGGTGGGGAGCAGGACAGAGCTGTGGGCGGCTTGTCCGGGGGCTGGGGGGAGGGTGGGGCTAGCTCCTTGCCACTGTGCGTGCTCCAGAAAAGGCAGGGTGAACAGGTGCCCCCCCCCCGCCCCTCCAAAATTCC